ATGTGTTGGAGTTTTGCCCATGTTTGCCACTGTGGAACCTGCTTTTTGTGCTCCATGGCCCTTGACCAGTCACTCCTGCCAGTATGGCTTTCAGCACGGGTAGTCCGATCTTCTAAATACGGAATATTTTGTTTTATCAGGAAGAGAAGCAGGACTGAGAAAGGTGATTTGGTCCATTCTTTTCCCACTGAGCTTCTCGACAGTCACCAACCAATATCTGTTTATTTTCCTGTAGGAGAAAAATGACAGCAGTTGTGGAGAAAAGACTGGAGCAAGTTGCATATGTTTGTGAACCTTTGAAATTTATTTGGTAAGCAAAGGAATTCTACTGAGAGAACTTGCCTTTCAGCTGGAAAAAAAAATAAATAAAGATTTTTATAGGAAACTATAGAAATTAGGAGGCACAATGTGTTTCAGTTCTGCACTTTTTGCTAGTGCAGTGTTTGCAGGATGCTGTCCATTGATACTTTGATGCATCACTGCTGTTCAGTCAAACTACCATAGCTTCCTGTGGCTACTGGGCTTTCCCCTTGAAGTCAAAGAGAGCAATTGGTGCCTACTGGTGGCAAGGTTAGAGTTACTCAGCTGGGCAGCCTAGAGGCAGTTGCTGCAGTAAATCTTGTAGCTCTTGTGTTAGCTGGCACTCCCCAGCCATGCAGGCAGTGCCAAGGCACGTGTTTCAGGCAGTGCCTACTGGTTTTCTACCCTGTTTGTTTGCAGGGGTGCCAAGGTACTGTGGAGAGTCTACTTGAGCTGGAAAGGAAGGAAAGCATTCTTTGAGTTAAAACGTTTAAATTGAATCAAGGCAATGGAGAATCAAATTTCAGTCTTTCATCACTTGTAATAGAAAAATCCATGTGCATTGATAGTTCTCCCCAGTCAAGTATCCCTTGTTTGTACGGCTGCCCGTCAGACAGAGATGGGTACCAGTGGTTTGAATGTGAAAAACCCTCCATTTTCACATAAAGGGCAGATCAAATATGTGTGGTGCATCCCCTTATGCAGTAGAGCACATGTAAAACTAAGTAAAGCCTCATTTAAATGACAAAAGAATTCTTGGGCTACATGTTAGCTCTTTCTGGTAGTAGCTGAATGAAAGAAAATTTAAAAAAAACTTAATAAATAATTAGGGTGGTAATATGTTTGACAATTATTTTTTGACTATGACTTTTTTTCTGTTACTATTATAACACAAATGATCCTTTCAAATACAACTAAAATGCTAATGATAGCTAAGAAGGTCGTTCCTAGGAGGTTAAACTGGTTTAATTAGAATTTATGAGAAGGTTACTATAAGAGTGCAGAAAGATGTTAAGGGGTTAACCTATAAGAGATTACATTGTAGTCAGTGTTCTGTTAAAGTTTGAATTAATTTTTCCCATGGGTTTTTCACATTCTAATTTTCAACTAAATGAGACATCTGTTTCAGAAAACGAAAATTTGCTATGGTTGTCATAGCAACTATCATTCTGTAAGAAAATTATTCCAATGGTTACTTTAGAAAAGAAAGATAGAAATTCAGTACATAAAGCAACATATGATTTCTAGCACAAACTGTAATAATTCAGCCCTTTTTGTGCCATATATTATTTGGCCTGCAAAACTTGTTCAAATGTTTTAAACTTAAGGTCAGTTGTGCTGTAAACAAATTCACCTCTGATATATTTTCCCCCTTGAGTCTTCTATGTAGACAATCATTATTCTTATCAAAATAATGGTTGAATTTCAGTAGTGTTGGAGACACTCAAACTGTTCACTTGAAAAAGGTAAGACCTAAATCAAAGTACATTTCTACAGATGAGTGCTTCACTTCAAAGGTGAAATATATTCATGATATATGTCTTTAATTGCCAAACAATTTTTTCTTGGGTTGGTTTTTGTTTTTGAGGAGAGTGGATTTTTCTCTTGTAAAGCATACTTTGTCAAATATAAAATATTATTGAAAAATATGTTATAAAAATAATTACACTTTTCCTGAGTAAGCACTAACTGGGAATACAGAAATTCAGTACTTGATATAAAGAATTTAACTTTGTTTCCAGGTTCTATCGTAAATGCGAATTCTAGACAAAGTTGTCTTAGCATGATATCCAGGCCACAGTCTCATCAGTGGGTAAGAGAAGAAGGCTTTTTCCCTACTCAGAAAATTTGATAGCTGTTTTGTATTTTCAGAGGAAGGGACTTAGGGATTTATAAAATCCTTACGTGCTTATAAAGATGGTTTTTGCTTTGGGGGTGAGGGCACTGAAGTGTGATTTGTCTTTCTTCTCTCCAATGTAAAGCATGCCAGCATCCACTGCTGAATCCTTTCTTGGATCTGGGATTTTTTAATTTTTTTGCCAGAAATATTCCAGACATTTCCTTCCATCTCAGGATTGTCACAAAAGACAGCATAATAGCAAATCACACAAGTTGTAACATCTCCCCTTCACAAAAGAACAGCTCCAGCATGCATAACTTACCAGCCCTGCTGCAGTCACCACAAAGGGAGCGAGGGAGGGAGGAGGGAGGGATGGGGGAAAGTGCTTCTTGTCTTAATAAGCAGATCATGCCTATTCATAAAGGGAAATGGGCTTTTTTAGAAAGTGGCCATGTGTAGTCCAACCCAGGTAGAGGCTCTCACAGCTGCTTATATGGCTTGTGGTTGCCTGGATTTCAGCAGGATTAAGCTGACTTCTGGGGAGACCTGTGGCAGTCCTGATTATTTCTGTTTTAAAGTGCTTCATTGTAATCTTAAAATAATTATTCTGTGAGGTTTTTGACTTGTGCTTCTTGGGCAAATGCTGGTCTTTCCTCTTGGCTTCTTTTCTGTGTCTGGCACACCTGTGGGATGGTACCTCCCCATGCTTCCCATCAGAGACCCAGGGACAATCCTGTCCCTGCCCAGCAGCACCAGGCCGTGCGAGGGGTGGCAGCTGGGATGTATATGCACTGAAACTGTCAATGACTTAAAAAAGATGATTTACTGTGCTGACACTTCTTTTGCCACCTATTTGCCCTTGCAAATATTTTCTGTCAGTGGGATCTTTCTAATGGGAAATGTGCCCTGGGTCTACAGACAATTTGCCAAACAGTTGTGTATTTTCATCTTGGTGAAGAAATATACTTAGTGTGTTAGGTGTGGAATGCAATCCCAAAGCAGGAAAGGATGAAGAGTTTAGAAAAAGCCAACCACTGTATATTTTTATGAAGCCTCCCACTTCTGTAATATCCCAGCACCTCACAGACTTTATGTTTTTTCTTTTTGAGGCATTCCTGTGTGATAAAAATAATTTCCTTATCTCAGCGGTGAACTGAATGTAAGGAGAAACAGATCCAGTTCCACAGAGCTTGTGTGGTTGCTGTGTGGCAATGTCACATGGTAGCATTGCTGGTACCTTGCTGCACAATAAGCCAATTAGGAGAATCCCATAATTGTTTAGGAAAAGACGTCTGAGATGATCAAGTCCATCCATAAACCTGATGCCACTAAACCATGTCCCCAAGTGCCTCATCTGCACACCTTTTAAATGCTTCCAAACATGGTGACTTAGCCACTTGACCTCCCAGTGAAGAATTTTTCCCAATATCCAATCTAAACCTCCCCTGGCGCAAATTGAGGCCATTTCCTCTTGTCCTAATGATTGTTAGCTGGGAGAAGAGACCAAATTCCCACCTTGCTATAAACTCCTTTCAGGAAATTTTAGAGAGATAAGATCTCCCTGAGCTTCTCTCTAGAGACCCTGGCAGCAGAAAGGTGAGGAAAGGCTGCTTGGAATGTTGAACAGGTAACCAGAAAATATGAGTTTGTGGCCTGATGTAGGGACATGTCTTTTTCTTAGCCAGCTGCCTAGGCCTGAGCAATGTTACTCAGAACAAGATTTGTGCTTCACCACTAGTGCTGTTAGCTTCTTTTCTTCAAACACCTTCTTCACCTCCCTCATCACAGCTTCTGAAGGCTGGGAGATATATTTCTGGTTCTGATAGCAGATGTTTGAAGACTCACAGTTTTTTGGTTTTCTTTTTTTCCCTGGGACACCTGTTTCTCAAGACCTGGATATCCAGGGCATGTGATGAAGAGGCAGGGGATGAGAAAGCAAGCTTTTCAGTCATCAATAGTTGACCCTCTTTTTGTCTGTGGAAGAAAAACATTCTGTTAATTGTTCTTCAAATATGAGTATGGCCACAACACATCAGTCTTAACTATTAAAACTTCCAGCCTAAAACTAACCCCTCAATTTTATGTCCTAGAATTGGAGCCTAGTCAGCAAGACATAATTTAACACTGTGATATAATTGCTGTGAAATATAGTTTTTTAATCAATGGGATAGCAAGATACAGATAAATTATGTTCTGACTGGCAGTATTACAGTCCTGCTGCTCCATTATGAGTACATTTCAAAAAATGTAAATGCCTATCTGATAAGGAATCCTGAATATGGAAAGTCTTACTTAAAAGCAAGTCAACATACCAGAGGACAGAAGAAATTTGTGTGTTAGAGAAGCAGCAGCATTCTTGTTCTGATGTGATGTATGCAATTAGGGAAACAAAGCAGCAGAGATGCTGTCTCTGACTTCAGAGCAGGATTTGTCATGGTGCCAGGGTCTGTCCTTGCCCAGCTGGTCATAGGCTAAGGGCCAAACATGCTGGGAGCCAATGTGAAACATAAGTCACGTGGGTGTGTCTGAGACAGCTGTTCTTCTAAATGTTGTGAGAGTCAGCGTGATAATCCACACATGGAGATCTTGGTATCCAGGGCTTGTAAGTAGTTGGAGCACTACTGTGAATATTTTGCTGTATGCTGTCTACTGAAAGCGGGAAGGACTGCACATATTTGCCATACAAGTTAAACAGCACTGTTTGTATGGAAAGAGGGGATTACTGTGTGCACACAAAGAAGAAAATGAATGCTGTTTGTGTCTTCAAATTCCATGGTAGTAAAGCGTCAACCTCAGTATTTTACTTAGATAACCAGTACATGGAAGTAGCACTGAAGACATTCTCCTCCTCTCTTGGCAGGCAACCTTGGTTTTATGGCTGGGGCTTTAATCTTCCACGAGGCCAAGCACTATTAGAGAAATGGAACCTTATTCCAGATGGAATAGATATTCTTATAACACATGGACCACCTCTCGGTAAGAAAACAATAGTGCTCTTAGCTGTGTATTTAAGATGATTATATGGTAACTGATGGCTGTCTTTAGAAAAAGAGTGCAATCCTGACTTACAAAAGCCAAGAGCAACATACGTACTGATTTCAGCAGCACCAGGACTTCAGCTCATGATTACCTATGATACCTCTGCTCAATGGCAGGGAATTAAATAATGGCTTAAAAATTAAAACATTAATACATAAAGCCATAATGAGCTTTATAAATAAGCAGGGTCTAGTTTTCCTATGCACATTTCTAATCTGCCACTGGTGAAATTACTAGATTGAAAGCATGGAGTGTTTTTGAAGAGAAATGCAGGATTAGGATCTTATTTTTTATCACTTTCTCCCTGACTTGCTACTGCATTTTCCCAGCAACCCAGAACCTCTTTCTTTCCTCATCATGCTGACTTGGCGTATCTTCTGCTTTACAAACCCAGATGCTCCCCATTGTTCACCTGTTCTTTGGACCGCATGGTTGAATTGCTTACCTGTAATACAGTTTGGCAACATGAACAGATCAAAAAGAAATAGTTTTGCATGTGCATTTTTCAAACGTTAATATAGGTGATATGAAAGCTATCTATCTATAAAAGATTTCTTGTATTCCTAGAAAATTTTGATATTACCTTTGCTACAGAAATAATGCAATCACACAAACCTGTACAGATTCAGTAAGGGCTTAAGGCTTTTAAGCTTTTTTTCAATGTATTAAATATATATAGCAGTCTATATATAATGTGACCGTGTGTTTGACTCTCACTAATTTAATAAATGAACATGAGCAAGAACCATGTACTCAAGTGTTCTGCTGAGTCTTACTGTGCTTTGTGTGAAATTAAGGTTGTTGGTTTCTTTAAACTTTTAGATTCCCCAATTTCCTGAAGCTAAAACCCTCGCCTTCCACCCTTTCTTCTCTTTCAGAGCTCAGAGGAGAAAGTATCTAAAGGGTTTCTGTTTTGTTTTCTTTAGAAAGACATGTTTGCATTCCACTGCTCACTAATCCTGGAGGAAAGTGGTTCTTTGTGAGCAGAGTTTCTCACAGTTAGGGGTGTGTGTTTTGATTCCTCATCTAAGTGTAGTCTCATGCTGTGCTGTGGACTGATTTTAATATGAGCCTGTCTTGTAAAAGTGGATGTCAGAAATTAAGTGTTGTGGCCCAAGATATCAGCTCCAGGCCATTGGTATGGGGGTAATCCCTGCTAGGATCCAAGGCACAATGCTATCTTTCATGCAGTTTTATTTATAAGTCATATTTAAAACTTTTTCAGAAGCTTTTTCAGCACTTTGAAAACCAGCTGACCTTTTAAAGCCAGCTGATCAACTGTATCCAACCTTCAGCTGACTGAAGATTCACTTGAAATTAATGTTGGAAAATGGTGAGATTCAACCACCTTGCTACTTTAGCCACCAGGCCTCTCCAGTAGCCACAGGCATCAGCAGAAGGAGGACCCCTAAAGAGCACTGCAGAGCTGGCACTCAACTGACAGGCTTTAGTGATAAATTTCATAGTAAATTTATAATTGCAGTAATTCTGAGGAAGGGCCACCCATCTCTAGTGATTTGTAAAGGAATAATATGAATTCCCCCATCTCCATGGCTCGGTATGTGTTCTTTTTTTTTTTTTTTCCACTTTTAATTCTTTATCTTCAACCATCCCCCCAGAATTTCCTTTTTTTTCCAGAAGTTCCTGTTTCTTTGTCTCTCTCTTATTGATGCATTAATAGATAGCTCAGGCACCGAACCCCTCTGCCTGAGGGCAGGAGCTGTTGGTCTCCCTGACACCTATGGCAACAAATATATGACATTTCAAAGAGCTTAGCACTCTGCTTAACTTACAGAACCACCTTATTGTGCAGCTCTGTCTGCAGACCTTTTGGGAGACAGGATCCTCTGACTCTCCCAGCCAATTTTTTTAACCAGGAAGCTGATTCTTGTTCTGATCTTGGAACTCAGAACCTCACTAAAGTTGTTCCTAAGGCTCATAAATAACAATCAGTCCTCCTGCAAATTCTGGCGATTATTCTCCAGAATGGCTGCCTAAATTCAGCCTATCATCCATTTTCTGTGCTGCTTTCTCATTTCCTCACTGCAAAAGAGTGTGCATCCTCCTGAACTAATTAATACTACATTATTACATGGATTTGAAATAGTCTGATTTAGATCAGAAGCACAATTAAGAGTTAATGAATTTTGTTTTTTATTTAGCTGTGTAGCAAAAATCCGAGTAATTTTTCTCTTCTGTTTTAGAGTAGTGCTTTGGGATGAAACCAGGGCAGGGATACATTTGAGGTTCATATAGGATGAGGAAAAAAAAGGTTAAAACAGCTGTTTTTGACCATTTTATTAGTAACTTGTCTATTATTATTAACAATGATATACAATGTATTTCATAGTTTATGAAATATAGAATTTGTGATTATGGGATCAGTGTTAATGCTCATTTCTACATTGGCATATCTTTGTTACCCAAAGATCTCCATTTATTATTCTTTTCTCTTCCAAAGGTTCACGTTCTTTTCTTTGTTTTTAATTTAATTTCACCTTTAAGTCTTCATTTGCAGCTGTCTGCTTGATAGTCTGTGACAAAGATTTATACTTTCCTGACAGCTGCAGAAACCTGTTTCAAGTAACCAAACATTAAAAAATCACTAAGATGAACTCTAATTGTTAGCTAGGTGTAATCAATTATTCTTAGTTTGTGTAGTCAGGTGTACATAATAAGCTGCAAACATATGGGAAGGCTTCAGAAGGGTGATAATGCATGTAAACAAAAACATGTTCAACATAAATAATGCTTAATTTAATGGAGAAGTTAATTTTATGGATTATTTTTGTTTGTGAAGTTTTTGAAGTGGAAATACTTTGGCTTTATGTTCACTGCAGACATTTTGACAATTAACTGCTTCAAATCATTGGAGTAATAAAACGTACAGCTCTAATATGTTTACTCTGGGGGAAAAAAAAAAAAAAAAAAGCATGACTTTATTCCAGAGGAATTGCTGGCCTCACTTTGACATCATAAATACTGTTTTTCTCTGGTGAATTTTGACCTCCCTTTGATGGCACAAGTGAATTCAGCAGGAGTGAGCATTGCTCAGTCTGGTTGTAGTTCAGCAGGGCTTTCCTTTTCTACATCCTCCGACAGGTGCCAAACAGCACCTTCTGTCTTTGACCATGCTCAGAACTTCCTCTTTTTGGCACTTAGGATGCCCCATTCCCAACTTTTTTTCTGAAAATTGAACTTAGCTCTCTGAGTAGCTATGAAACAAGTGCAAAATTTTGCCATTTTGGTAAAACCTCACAGTTTACCAAACTTGAACCCAGTTTCCAAGCACTGGCAGCTGAAGAGGTATTTGCCAATGTGTGAACCTACCCTGAAGCTCTAGAAAATCTGAGAGCTTGTCCAAGAGCTTGAATACCACACTTCTGGTTTTTCAAACCAGTTGGTTGCCTGCTTAGCCATGCTCAAGTGGATATCAAAAGTAAATGTATGAAAAACAGGTCCAGACTCTGCACTTCTGGCTAAAAGCACAATATATTCACACTACTGCAGCGAATCCAAGAGATGCAAAGCTATGACAGGCACACAGGGAAAATATCAGAACAACAAAATATAAGTATGAAGATTTTATCTTTTACATTTCCAAATCTGAGCCTTATGAAAGTGACTGAACAGAAATGAACAGAAATGAATAGAAAGAAAACAGATTGGTTGTTGCAAACACTCCAATACAACATCCTCCTTATACTAGTACTTGGAAGGAGACATGAGACCAGTTGGCAGTAAACATCCCCCTGCAATACTTTTAGACAAAGAGTTGATGTAACATTTCTGTCTATTTTCATAAGAAATACATTTTTACACAACTTTTGTGCAAGTAAATGCAGTACTTAAATACATCTACTGCAAAAGGCTTGAGTGTCTCTTCTGAGATCCATCAATTTAACCAAGTGGGGCTTGCTGTGCCATGAAGCGGTTTAACTCAGGGATGTTATTTTTTGGGCATGTAGTGGATTCCTCACCTGAGCTCCACTACTGTAAGGTTTAACGTGATAACAATATAGTTGTAGTATTGGCAACACAGATTCCATTCCATTGGTTCAAGTGCCTAATCTAAAAAAGTATGCTTTTAAATAGTTAAATGTTTTAAATTCTTTAGAGGCTTGCTTTGGACTTACTGTTCTTTATACCTCATTCTCTTCAAGAAGAAAAATGGGTAAAGCATTGAGTTATCCCATTAACACCAGTGCAAAAATGTTTTGACTGCAGTAATTATTTTTATTCTTTGAAAAACAACTGGAAAGAGTTATCACAGTCCTTTTTATCCAGGTGAGCTTTTATGGTTTTCCACCCATATTTTTCTTTCCTTCCTCTTCTGCTTACCAATGCAGACACAGTCCTTGCCATTTCAATTCTTCTGTGGCTGTTTGTGAAAAGCCATGAGACATGAAATCTCAAAAATGCTGTATAACACCACAACTTTGTGGATTATCTGTCTTTTCTTAAAGCTTTCTTTTCTTTTCCAAAGGTTTTCTGGACTGGGTTCCTAAGAAAATGCAACGGGTAGGATGTGTTGAGCTGCTGAACACAGTCCAGAGACGAATACAGCCAAGGCTTCATGTTTTTGGACATATCCATGAAGGTCAGAACACATTTCTTCTTATAATAGGTATTTAGAAGCCACAAGTAGAGAAGGCTTAACCAGCATTTTCAAACTTGAATGTCTGAACTGAAGCACTTCTAGAATTCAGATGCATTTTTAAATGCATATATAGAGGTGAAATTGGCTGATAGCCACATTTCAATACCTGTACTTGAGCATATCTTTCATTTTCTACATCTATAAAACAGGTTGATGCTTCCTTCACAGAGATGAGTACTGTGAATTTTAAAATAAGAGCACAAGTCCAGTAGTTACAGAAAGTGTCTAAATATTAGGATGGAGGGATTTTTTTTCCTCAGCAGAACTTGCGCTTCACAGTAATTCATGTAAGATCTCTGTGTCTCAGCTTCTGTGCTTTTAAAATGGGTAAGAATGTTTTGAGGGGTGCTTCTAAGGCTTGATCTTCAAGATTGTACAATAACAGCTGTCTCTCCCCATCAGTGTGTATATGAAGTTGAAATCAAGACACACAAGACACACTGACTGGTGTAGAAGTTCCAAGATATTCATGGGTGCATTTAGTTGCTTTGGCAGGGGAAAGATTTTGTGCTCAGACAAAACAAGTGGTTCTATTTATTTGATATTTAACTGTGAAGAAAATGAGTTCCCTTCACACAAGCCAGTGAATGGTGACAGATACACTCTGCTGTAGTCAGTAACAGCAGGAGTTCATCTCCTGGCAAAGGGAAAGGTAGATGGTGTCTGTCCTGTCCACAAAGAAAGGCACCAAGGCTTCAAGCAGTGTCCCCACCCTAAGCAGAAAGCAGTGGGCTGTGCAGGAGTGAACCATTGGTGTGTATTGTGTATTATCAGATGCTCAGTCATTGGCAATGTTAACTGACTGGCAGGAAAAGGTACTCCACAACTGCCAGTTTTCTGCTTCTGGGACTGCTCCAGCCTTTGCTGTAGGATCTCTGTGGGTCTCACCAGTGTAGAGATGGAAAAAATGGAGGAGCTGGCCTTCAGATTCTTCTGATTTTGTGAAGAGCTCTTCCCAAGATACCCTCTCTGACTTGCTGCTGGGGACTTTTACCATGGCATATTAGAAGTGGCATTGCTGGTGGTATAAAAAATGTTCAGGTCATTATTTTATAGCTCAGGGATTAGGTCCATTCTCCTCATGTGTCTCATCTGCAGTGACCTGTTAATACCTGGTTAATGTCCAAAGTCCTGTTAAATCACAGAGTAAACAGATAATGCTGCTAGAGCAATCTTTGATATTCCAACCAAAAGAGCGGGTGAATACAGTTCAAACTCACCGTCATTTCAGAAATTGTGAGGCAAGAGGGTTGCAGGGGATATAAGCAAACAGCAAGCCATGAAGCTTCAGGCAGGTAAACAAAATCACATCTGTTAAAACCAAGCCCAACTTTGACTCTCGAGGGAAGAGAATGGCACCTCCACAGAATAGCAAATCCTGTGAGTTAGTGTAGTTGGCACAGTAGGTATCAGAACACAGAAACAAAGTACTCTTCTTGTTAACTATCATAATTTAGAGAAAACAAATGGGGAGCTGCAGACCCTGTTTTTCAATGGGATGCTAAATCTCTGCAGAGGAGAATTCCCATTGCAGGCAACCTGTGCAAACGAAGCTGCAGTTTGCAGAGAGAATGCATGATTTGAACAGATGAATTTTTCCTCTGAGTGAGCATAGCTACATCTGCAGCAGTCATTTACTGAACATCTGGGGGAAAGAGATGCTTATAAGAGATGTTTCTTCCTTATTCCTTCCCTCCACTACCATGCCTGCCAAAAAATACCTCTGCACATGGGCTTGCTGCTGATCTACCCGTGGAAGGGACAAGCAGCATAGCAGGCGTTCTGGCTAAAATTCTGGTTTTCCCATTATAGCCAGTACTCCACTGAGGTATGGCCAAGGAAATTCTGCTGGCAGTGGGACAGGAGTGAAAGCTGCAGCACTAGGAATCTTCCAGCAAAAGGACTGTGTTAGCAGTCTGTGTCTGTTCTCTCCAAATGTGTAGCCGAGGAGACAGCAAGTCCTAAACACAGTGCTGACTGTCCTCCATGCATTTCATGTTTTCCTCAGAGCAGTCGTTCTGTGGCAAACAGAAAGGGATTTAAAGAAATGCTGGTGACAGGAACCTTTTCATTCCCTCCCTGGTCCCAAATTATAGTGTGTTTCTTCCATGGGAGGTGCAGGAGGCCCTGAATTATTCAGGGTGTTTTAAGGAACCAAAAAGAAAGGAATTTGGTTACTGTTTCTTTGTTTGCAAATTATGCAATTTTCAGAGTTCTGAAAGACACAGAATTGCATTCAGAAAAACCATAGGGTCATCGGAACATAGGATTTGACTAGCTGTAACTCCTTGTGTATATAGCAATGAATACATTTCACTATTAACTTTATGAAAGGTGAAAAAGGTGAGTCAGTACAAATTTCTATCAGTTGATTTCCCCAAATCATGTATTTCTGATGATTGCAGTTCTTCATATTGATCATAATATTTCAGTGAAAGTTTCCAACATTAAACTTTTAGCTTTCATGTTATCAGGCTTATATTTTTATCCTAGTTGCTCATTAAAAGATTTTTGACAACAGAGAGTGTGTCTGTTTTTTTATGACTCCAAGGCTGTCAAAGGGCTTCTTCACTTTCTGAAAGAGCATTTAACTGTACTTCTACAGACATTAGAGCTAGAAGTTTGGTTTTCTGCAGATTTGATTCTGGAATTGTTTGCCTTGTGTGTCTAGCAAGACATGAGATGTAGCTGAAGCTTTTTTACCACTGGTGAGACACACAGCTGTGTGTGTTCTCCTGTGGAAATGTTCTGGTGTTTTAGGGTGTGAATTCACTTTGTCTGTTAGACAATGCATTCAATAATAAAGCCATTTTTTCTCAGCCTGCATTTTAGTGCCTTTCCATCAATTTTGGTCAACAAGTTCAAAGACGTAGCAAAAAGAGGTTCCTACTAGGCAAATCCTGCCCAGATGCACATGCACACATACTTGCCTCAGTCAAGCAATGCTTTTTTTCATTGGTTGCTTAAAGGATGTTCAACAGAGGGCAGGAAAAATGGTGGGAAGAGTAAAATTGCCCAAAGTTTGCTGTACTGATGACTGCAAGCCTAAACAATCAGAAGCATCTTTTCCAAAACTAAAAAGGTTTTAAGAGAAAAATCTCCGCAGTGAAAAGCATCTGTCTTTCTAAGGAGGTTTAGTGAGCTGGCTGCCAGAGATAACAGCCACTAGATACTGAGGGCCCATCTTGCTTTTCTTACACAATTTGAAAAGCTCTGCTGTAGGACAAAGATGGTATTGATTCAGGGAACATTCATGTTTTGAGCGAAGAGAATTTTTAAATTCCTTCTAAGTAATAAAAAATGTGGCACTTATTGTTGTGTGATACAGGTAATTAAAAAATAAAGAGAATAATAAGTAATAATGAGAGTAATCAGAATTTTTCTTCCTTTGTAGGTTATGGTGTCATGGCTGATGGAACCACCACCTATGTGAATGCATCTGTGTGCACTGTGAATTACCAGCCACTTAATCCGCCTATAGTTATTGACTTACCTACTCCAAGGAACACATGATTATAATGAGGATTTAAAGTTGTACCCAACACATTAGCAACTTTATATTGCTGGCTGAGAATCCCAATAGGGAACCATTCAACAAAAAAGCAAAATCCTTCTTTTTTCCCTGCTAGCTCTTCACAGATAAATTTAGAGTAACAAAAGTGGACAAGGAACAAAGATATTTTGGTGCCAGAAACAGATTAAAGACTAACATTTTACCATTAAAATGTTTGTGAACACAGAAAAGTGAATTCATTACACACACACACACATACACACACACATATATATATATACACATATATATATATGTGTGTGTGAATAATATATATATCTCTAGTAGGGGCTTTTGTACATACCATATATTGGACTTATTAAAAGAATGATGTCTTTCAAAGGAGTGTTTCTTTAAGAAAGTTTGCAGTTTAAACGTGTTTAGACTAGGATTTCCTCATTTCAGATGTTTTCCAGTGAGCTCTTGGTAAAATAAAAATGATGGTAAAGATGTTTTCCCTTAATCAACATGGAAAATATAAAAGATGGTACACAAATGACCAGTCAGAGGAGGAAAACTATTTCTCCAAGTCCTCCAAGTCTAAGTCTTTGCATCTATTCAAAACCAGTGCAAAAGAGGCCCTAATTCACTGTACTGAAATGAAGTTTTACTACATCTGGCATTACAGATGGCAAGGGAAATGGTACATATTGCCAGCATGCTGTAAACAGCTCAACATTCAAGAAGGGAGACTGTGTTAAATGCAGTATAAACTCAGGAATTTGTAACCTGGCCTCGCCTGTTTAAAAAAAGAAAATAAGGATGACATTTCCCTTAAAAAAAAAGAAAAAAGAAAAAATATAACTGTGTTTTCATATGGTAAAGTGATATGTGATTGTATTTAAAGAAAAAAAAAAGAGGAAAAACCTGCAAAGAGCTCACCCAATGATTAGTAATGGTATTTTAAATAAAACCCACCGAGACCATTGGTTTAAAACCTGCTAATGGGACATGCAGCCAATGATGAGATAACTGGTTTGAATTTGGCCCTGGTCAGGAATTGTTAAATGTCATTGTGATCATTTTGTCCTTGGGAAACATAGATGTCAAGGGGAAGGCATCAACCCAAGGTGTAGTTTGGACACTCGCTTTTGGGTGGCTGTGAGCAATGGGTATGCACCAAAGTGTGAAGAGCAGAGGTCACCGCAGGGGACCACTCTGGGACTTGCCCACTCATGGACACTGCTGAGAGAGGCCCAGCACAAAACCAGTAGAAACCCATCTGTTGTATTGCTTTTGGCACCAAGCAAAGCAGGGGACATGTCAGAAGCGGGTTGAGATGGTCCACAGCCATGGTACTGCCTGTGCAGCTCTCCTGCAGTGTTAGCAGAGGTATTGAAGCTGCTGGGATTTCAGTCCTGTCCTAGGCAGAAGCTTAAGAATTGATTACAAAGCCACCAAAAAACACAGGGCTTCAGACATGTCCTGCAAGAAATGGATTTCTGCCTCGAACTGACAAACATGTCCTTTTGACTTGATGGAGATAATTTAACTGCTGTATTCTATATGTGGACATACTGAATTGGGGGTGACAGCATCTAGACATTAATCTTGCTCACACACATTGGGCAGACCATAGCACTCCCAGGTCACGGTTGCAGGTCTGTGCATAGCCCACATCTGCACTCACGCATTGGAGAATTGTGTGTTACATGGATGTAAATGTGACTTTTACATAGCAGCTGCATGTACATTATACACATAAACAATTTAAAATACCTGTGTTGCAAAACCAGGCCATGTGAACTTCAGCTCTGAGCAAGGCGGGCACAAACTCTGCTTTTCCCTGGCTTCCCATGTGCAGCAGCTCTTCCAGGTGCTGCCTGAAGCTGAGATGTCCAAGCGCAGTAACTGACTCATGCTGTGGACCCACAGGAAGCCACCAAACCCACAGAAAACATGACAAGTCACAGGTCTGTTATTTCTTGTAATCTGTTGGGTGACCATGTGTCTAAATTAATGTGCTGCTTTTTTTCCTGAAAGTGAAACCCAAAACAATTAGTGGCACCTGCAACTGGTTTTTGGGAGAGTGGTTCACAAATGCATGAGCAGTCTGCATTAATTTAGATGGGGCCACTTTTGTCAAAGCTACTGGTGTAGAAATTTCAGGATCAGCTCCTAAATCAGTAAGAATTGAAATTCACAATTGAATATGTACTCCTGTCATCACTGGAAGATGAACAACAGCATGTAGTTAGAATAAAAGTGGCTTAGCTAGTCACAATTCAAGCGGTTTGCAACAAATGTGGCAGGAAATTGGCTGCATGTTAAAGTCTGAAATGTTTACATTTGCTCATGGCACTTAAAGTGAAGGGAAGAGGTCCTTTTATTAGCCTCAGCAAAATTTCTATGTCAACCATAAAATATTCTCTTAAAAATAATTTTTCCTAAGGTATCTTCCAAATACTGTGTATTTTTATGTGGAAAGGAAATGAAAGCAACTGTTACTTCAAAATATCATTTAAAGTACTTGAGGTATGAAAGCTTAAAGATTATTTAATCATTTTGGCATAACTTGAGTGTTGTAATTTTTGGTCAAGCATGTTGGATGAATAAAGTCTTAAAAAAAAAACTCGAACAAATGAACAAAAAAAAAAACACACAGCAAAAAATAAGGTCTCTTAATGTCCAGCTCATGTGATCAGCTGCAGTTTGGAATGACTGTCATCTTCTCCAGGGGTAGAAGCCAGGCTGTGGGACATTTAAGATGTTATGGAGGGAGGTCAGCAGAGGGTGCCTTGCTTTGTCCCCCAGATTCCAGCTACCAAATCTCCTGCAGAGAATAACGAGCTCAAGGCTGGGGCTGCAGAGAGAACGGAAAACAGTACCCACTGCCTGTAATGAATGTATTTTGGTGGGAGAGTACGCCAGGAGTGCCTAGAAGGGAAAAGCTACTGTGGGAGTGCTGCAGCACAGCTCTGGAGATGTTGGGAACTGGAATTCCATCCTTTCGGAGTGGGAAGCAGCTGGGAGAAGGAGAGTTCCTGCTCTGAGTTGGGTGTAATGATACATCTTCACAGAGAGGGAGGTTATAAAGGCCTGGTGAATATTTTTATTTTAACTTTGTGGGCACAGAAAGACCTGAGTATCTGATCTACCTCAGATAAGGAAGACTGTGAAAAGGAAGATCTCCACAAATCCAGCTGTGCATTTGTCAGCTCTGTTTAAATTTGGGATGCCTCTCAAGTAATTTCCTGCCCCACCTCCCCATTGCTGACCTTCACTGATATTTATCCAGGTAGCAGTGCTCCTGAAGGAAAGTGTGCTGATGTGTATCACTAATATGTACATTCCCATCACCAGGCAGAATTGTTGGCTGAGATTAATTCTGATTAATTTCAGCAATGAATAGGGAAGATATCACTGCACGTCAATGAAAAAAAAAAAGATGACAAGATTATTTTTACCTCCCTCAGTCACATACAGCTGAGGATGTGAAATGTTCCTTGACTAGAAACTAGAAGAAAGGAGCAGGCTGGAACTCAGCACCCACCCAAGCTGCTGCTTTTGGTGCCCCAGGAAGGATCAAAAACCCTGTCTCAGGGTCATGCTGGGGACACAGTAGATGGGAAAGTGCTCTGGTCTTGATGCAGGAGGGCACCAAAGGAGATAAGAAGTGGTTTGTCTTTTCCAGTCACTGACTGCTGCTAACAGTCAATGCAAATACTTCAGAGGAAGGAGGGATGAGACATCCCTTAGAAGGCAATTTTTGGAATAATCTGCCCAAGGGGATCTTTGCCCCCCTCCCATTTATTGCTGTTTGTGTGAAAATTTCTCTCTTTAAAACCCGTATTATTGCTTTTTGCTCAAGTAACTCAGAGCAAATATAACTGCAAACGGTCTGTCCTTTCAGGTACATTCCTGTCCCTTTCTTTCAAGTCTCCCTGCATCTGTGATTTTAGTGATATTTTGGAACAGGGAGCACACTGTATGATTATGCACAGTGCATTAGAACAACAGTATTTCACTTATCCTTGTACATGTGCTGCTGCTTGGGTTTATTGACTGTCCCTTTGTTCTCTTTTTATGTGAAAAGTGACAATAGGAGTACTAACACGCACCTCCTTTGTGCCATTTGTTATTCTGTATATTGGCCATTATGTTGCTTTTTACTCACTTCATCTAGAAATTAATATAATTTCAGTTCTAGATAGGCTCTATTTCTAACTCCCTTACTTTCCCATCTCAGAAATTCTCCCCTCCTCTCTTTTTGATGTGTCATTTGGGAGTTGGTGAGAGGCAGCAGTGCCAGAAGAGGACCTCCTCTTCCTTCCTATCTGAGCATTTAGACACAGTTCTCTGCTACTTTCTCTCCTGACTTTTATCCAGTATCTTCATTTTTTTAGGGTTTTTTGGGATAATAGCATATATTTTTAAACACCAATGGACCACTGTGTTGAGTTAACTCATGGTTGCCTATGGCCCTAGCTCAGTTTTCTCTTCAAAAGAGAATTTGCCACAACCATCACCCCTTCCTCTCATGGAGTCTGACCCAGGCTGTGTCTGTGGTGGGGATCTTCCCCCATTCTAGCCTGTTCCCCTGGCTTTGGCGGTGCCCTTGGCAATCCTCATCATCCCTGGTTGGGCTTTGCTGCTGGAGGGTAGCTCATCCACCTACCTCATTGTGGGGACCTGAGGGTGCTGCTGGGTGGGATAAGGAGCATTTGCATTTGTACAGCCTGCATCCTGCTTTAGAGGTTTTTGTTTCTTAGCTGCTGCCCAAACCATGACCCTTCTTTGCCTCCCATGAATAGCTCTTCCATAAAGGTCTTTATCAAAACCTTTGCAATTGTCTGCACCAATTATATCAGCGATAGCTTTTCTGGACAGGACTCTGATGTACAAAAGCTTTCAAATAGATTAAAGGAACGGGCTTTTCTTTCACACAAAGCGGTTGGCATTGTTTCCCCCTGCCCAGTGAAGTGTATTCCCTCTCTGGAGCATGATGGACTAAAACTGAACAGAGCAATTAACCTCACCACATGTCACTGGGTCTTGCACACTGTGCCCTTGTGCTCTTTTCTCCCATACAGGCCCATGTGGGCCTGGTTAGTGGACAGATGCTTCCTGCTCTAGGAGCCCATTCTCTCCCTGAGAGCTCTGGTCTTGCCTCTGCATGGCCTCAGGGACAGGGAGGACAGCCATGGGAAAACACAAAGCAGACAGGCTGGTGTTTCAAGTACTCTCACTTATCCTGTAATTCTCTGTGCTCTGAATGGGGTGAACAACTTGAGCAGGGCCAGATGGAAAAATGCTGGTTGCTATAAACAAGTTACAGTGGCTTATGGTAGAACAAAGCTTCAAAATCAGTGTAAGGAAAATACTTTGCCCAACCACATGAGCTGCCCAACACCCAGGAAAGGCTGGGGAGAGTCAAAGGTGGTGTTAAAGTGCCCTCCCACCAGTGCAGCCTCAAATGCCCATTTCCCACTGCAGCTAGAGCCTGGATGTGGGGGCTAGAGCTAGCCCAGCTCAACGACAAGTGCAAATTAGGAGCACTAGAAGATTGGTGGTAGAAACCTTTCCGCAGAGGCCACTGGAAGGGTGAAAAGGGATCTCAAAGGGTGCTGAAGTGTCTTCTCTCAGTGAGTGCCCCCTTGTCCACAGGGGAATGGCTGCATGTGTCCTGGTGGGGACCCTGCCTGTGGGGGGGTGGGGCTGAAGCTGATGGAGGGGACCAGGGGTCTTTACCGCTGCAGGGCACAGAGCCAGGTGGCATTGATGCTG